CCGCGGGCTTCCCAGGGCGGCTCCGAAACGGGCAGTCGAGGCAGGCGAGGGCTCGGCTGCTCCTGCGGGCGTCTGTGCAGATGCTGAGGCTGTTGACCAAAACAGCGCAAGGAAGGAATGCGCCAGAAGCGCAGATTCGCGGGGGAGGCCCTGCCGCTGGGAGGGGAAGGGGAGGCGCAGCGGGGCTCTAGCGGGGCCTGGAGGGGGCTGTAGCGTGGCCCTAGCTGTGCGTCTGTGGAGCTGGTAGAGTTCTGCAGCCCAGGAGTGAGGCTGCTGGAGGTGCACATCAGTTTGAAATGTGGTGGAAACCATGGTGATGGATGGGATTTATTCAGTCCACATCCATTCAGAGGCCAGTAGGGTGCTGCTGGGGGTGACTGGTGCTGGGCCGGGCGTGATTTTGGCGTTGAGGGAGCTGATGCCCCAGCAGGGGAGACAGGCAACAGATGCACAACTGTTTAACCACAGTTGGGACAAGGGCTAAGGCACGGGTTCCAGGAACCTGTAGGATGCGGGTGTGGGAGTGGTGTCAAATGCTGAGGGTGTGAGTTGAACTCGAGAATTTCTCTGGAAATTAGCCAGAGGAAAAGTGAGGTGCCAGGGGCAGCCAGCCTTGTGCAGCTCCAGGCAGAAGAAACAGAATGCACGGACCCTTAGTGGTAGGCGATGGTGACATATAGGAGCAGAAAGATTGTCCTAGCTAAGGCCCAGAGAGCCACCGGCGAAGGGACACGGTAACGTGTAGAGGGGAGTGGAGGGTGAGGACAAGCTTCAGGATGGGAGAAGAGCCACAAAGGAGACGGAGAAGGGCGAGTAGGAGAAACCAGGAGACTAGAATGTGTGGAAACCAAGAGGATGGAGTTTAAAGGAGGAAGGAGCCATCAGCAGTGCTGACCAAAGAGCAGCTGAAAAGGTCCCACTGACTGCAGCAGCCGGGCTTTTGTGACCCTTAGGGGTCACTGCGGAGGCCGGGCTGGAGCCAGGTAGCATGAGTTAGGATGCACACCTGGGCAGGTGGAGATAGCTCGCTCCAGCTTTTAGGACGAAAGGGGCAGAGTGGACAGGAACTTAGCTTGGGGAAAACGACCATGTTCAGGATGCGGGAGAGGAGCGTTCCCCAGCTGCCGAGATTGGAGATCCAAGAGCAGGGATGAATTTAACTCCCCCTCCCTCTAGCGTGCTGTATACCAAAACAGTCAAAGTGATCCATAAGCTTATGTAGTTTGTTTGATCAACATGATTGGCCGGCCAGCCCCTTGTAAGGCGACCCTAAGGACATTTTAAGAGTAATTTCTTTCGCTTTTACATATGGGTATCCTTCGTGCCAGATTATATGAGTCGTTTTTCACAAGGTCACAATTAAAGTGTTTGAGACTTTTTCATAGTTTAGAGATTTTATTTGCTGTTTCCACTGGATTGTCTAGATTTTTATTTCAAGAATTGTGTACATTTTAACAGAATAAAATAATGAAACCTAGAAAATGCCCCCCCGCCCCATGTACACACTTTAAAAGCTGGCCTTAATAATTTAACTTGCATGACGTGGTAAGCCTCAGTGAAGGCTGTGCGCTTGAAGGGCCGTCCTAGTTCCAGTGTGTCGACCTTGATTAGATTGACCTGAGTTCAGTCCTGTCTGGGTGCACTCAAAGCTTCCTGCTAGCGTCTGGGCCTTTGTTAGTTTGACCTGGGTTCAGTCCTGTCTAGGGAGACTCAGGGCTTCCTCCTCTCTCCTGTAGTTTTTTAGTTGACGATCCTTTTTGTTTCCTAAGAAGCTTTATGCCAGTTCCCTTTTTCACAAGAGGCAACTTGGGTCTCTTAGTCACTTTTGGACATGAAGCGCGTAGTCTTTAGACTTGGCTATCGATCTTTGCTTTAATCACTGTTATTTTATGGAGGAACCTGTAAGGGGTGACATCAAATGATTGCAGCTTTGTTGACTGGCCAGAGGCCTGTTGATGGGCTAAGCCTAGACCCCAGAGCTTCTCTTGCTCATTCAGAACCAGTGCCTTGGCACCACCGTGTGGTTCAGGGTTTGCTGGAGTATCTTGTGACATCAAGCAGTTTGAGTAGATTCCAGGGGAATCTTCGTGTTTCTCGATACCAACTTCTGTCCACTCTATAGCTAATAGTAATGGTTCAAAACCACTTTGAATGGCCTGGATCCATGTGCTCCTGCATCTGTTCTTCTAGAGTTCTAAGAAATTAGGCTGCTAGTGTAACGGTGTTGTCACATATTAGGGGAGGCTTCAAGGGGTGACTGGCAGGAGCTCAAGATCAGACACCATCATATCTTCCAAATTTCCACATTCCAGATTTCCTGATGTGGAGTCATCAGTTGTATAATGCTGGTTAAATAGTTCAGTCACCGAAGAGTATATTGTTTGGCTGATTAGTCTTGGAGGGTCTAAGGGTACAATGTTGAATTTTTTTAGGTGAAATTCACATAACATAAAATTAACTATTTTAAAGTGTACAATTCAGTGGTGTTTAGTACGTCCACGAATTTGTGGAACCACCACCTCTATCTAGTCCTAAAACATTTTTGTCATCCCGAACAATAACTGTGTACCCATTAGCGGTCACTCCCAACTCCTCCCTTGCCCCAGCCCCTGGCTACCACTCACCTTTCTCTCTATAGACATTTGCCCGTTCTGGATATTTCGTATAAGTGGAATCGTACCCTGTGTGGCTTCTTGTGCCTGGCTTTTACTCAGTGTCGTACTTTTGAGGTTCTTCCATGTGGCATGTATCAATACTTCATTCCTTTTTATGGCCGAATTATGTTCCGTTATATGGATATACTAAATTTTGTTGTATAACCATGGCAGAATTTTTAAATCTAGCAATGATGGCCACTTCCATAATAAGGATGTCATGGCTGTTCTTAGTGGTGGACCATTTTGGGGGTTGCACTTCTGCCTTTATCTTAAGGTTTTTGGGGTAATTCTTGGCTTTGCTCACCCTCCCTTGGGAAGGCTGTCAACTTCATAAAAAGACTCTAGCTGTATCTTTTGTCAGCTTACTGTCAGAGAGTATGGCATCTGCCTTAATTTAGTTCAATTTGATCTTACCAGATAATACAACCTCGAATTTTTCGTTTAGTTCTATTCAAAAGCTCAGTTTCAGAAAATAATGTAGTGAATATGTATTCCATTTATTCCTCTAGAATCTAGATCGGGTTCAGCAAACTACAGCCCACAGGCTAGCTGTCTGTTTTTGTAAATTGAGTTTTATTGGAACACAGCCTACGGCTGTCGGCTTTTGCAACAGACCCACAGGCCTGAGATGGCAGAGCCAACTGCTGACTGGAACATTAAGAGAGAAAGTTGGCTGAGTGAAGGCTTCTGATCTTCATCAGTTCTTCATCTAAGTTCTGCCTTCCCCTACCTTATGAGGACTTAGCAGATGGGCTTAAGCCATCTGTGAAACCACTGAAATTTTATGCAAAGCTGCCTGCACATGTGAGGTCCATATATGTGTTCCTGGAGGGCAGACCTGTGACTCCTCAGATTCCAAAAGGGATTCAAGACTCCCAAATGCTGAACACTCATTGTTCTGAGTAGCCGAAATGTTAATTCTGTAGCCTCACCTGAGTTAGCAGTTCTCTCAGGGTTTAGTCTCAGGAGTTGTGTGGTTTTCGGGTTTGTTTTTTCTAACTTTTAGGTTCGGGGTACGTGCGCAGGTTTGTTACAAAGGTCAACTGTGTGTCATGGGAGTTGGCGTACAGATGATCTCGTCAGCCTGGTAATGAGCACGGTACCTGGTGGGCAGTTTGGGGATCCTCTCCCTCCTGCCACTCTCAAGCAGGCCCCGGTGTCTGTTGTTCCTTCTTTGTGTCCACACGTGCTCAGTGTTCAGCTCCCACTTACAAGTGAGAACATGTGGCATTTGGTTATCTGTTCCTGCGCCAGTTCACTTAGGAAAATGGCCTCTAGCTCCATCCATGTTGCTGCAAAGGACATAGTCTCGGTCCTTTTTATGGCTGTGTAGTATGCCGTGGTATGTATGTTTTTCCTATTGTGGTATAGATATATATATATAGATATATGTAGTATATATCACATTTCCTATATATTTTTAAGAATGATTAGAACCCCATTCTTAAATGAGAGCTCTTGTTTATGTGGGTAATAGTCATCAATATTTACCATATTAGAAATTAAAATAGGAAGTATTAAAATATTTCTATATTTAATTAGCAATAATAAACCTATTACATTTTTGCAAATATTTTAATGTCTAGCTTGATCAAAGATAGGCTCTCGAATCTCACGTTCATTCCTGTGATATCACAAGCCTTGCGGCCCGTGGAGGCCTCTGCTATGCACTCTGTGAGAACGAGAGTGAGCAAGGCCGGTGGCGGCTTAGGACGCTCAGGAAGGTGGTTCTGTGGACCTCCTGAAAGGCCTTAGGACCCAGAGGTCGCAGATGCACGTGGGAGAGTATGTATCTGGACAGTGTTATCTTAACGCTCCTGCGGAATCGTCCTCTGGTATTTTGGCATCAGCATGCTTTTTGATTTCCTGTCTCAAAAAAAAAAAACCTTCTGGAAGCTGGCTCTGCTGTACGTGGTTGGCATTTTGGTGAGGAGTTGGTATGTGTGAGGGGGCATGGAACTTTGCCAGGAGCCCAGGAGACGTTTCCCTCAGGTTTTAGGCCAGAAGGGTCTATACCACTTCTGAGCTGCTGGTAAGGTTTTAGATCTTATGAAAATGGATTTTCCTAACTAATCATGTTTTCTTTGCTGTGGCACTGGGGAAGCTTGGAGCCTGATTTCCAGCTCTTAACATGTGACAGGCACATCCTTGCACTAACGGCACCCCTTTCTCAACCATACCTTGTTATCCTTCTGTACACTTTCGTTATGTTGTAATTCATTCCATGTGTTTTTATAAGTTGTCTCATCTTTATTTGAACAAGATTGAGTATAAATCCTTTTGAGTAAAAAATTTCCCCCTTATATTATTGTGTAAAGCATTTTTGTAAAACATTAGCTTCCAGTGGATTCTAAGGTCTGTTTGGATTTAGAGAAGTTAGTGAATCACTTTTTTTTCCAGTGTTGCTTTCATCAGGTTTCTTTATTGATTGATTGATTGATTGAGATGGAGTCTTGCTCTGTCGCCCAGGCTGGAGTGCAGTGGCGTGATCTCAGCTCACTGCAGTCTCCACCTCCCAGGTTCAAGTGATTCTCCTGCCTCAGCCTCCCAAGTAGCTGGGACTATAGGCGCGTGCCACAACGCCCAGCTAATTTTTGTATTTTTAGTAGCGATGGGGTTTCTCCATGTTGGCCAGGATGGTCTTGAACTCCTGACCTCAAGTGATCCGCCTCAGCCTCCCAAAGTGCTGGGATTACATCATCAAGTTACTTTAGATAAGTGGAATCTCAGCCCTCCTATATCTGGAAGTGTCAAGATGTTACTTTGTTTCATTATATACTATATATAGTACAGCTGCTTGGCAGTGTTGTTATTTATTGCCTGCCCAGATCCTCTGTCCTATTTTTCATTTTATTTCTGTCTGGTATACAGAGGCATTCTTGTTATTAGTATTATTGTTTCCATTTAATCATAACAGGCTTTTTTTGTGCCTGCTTGTGAAACTTCCGTAAATTACTTTTAACACGATGCTTAGTTATTTGTGTACATTTTCATCAATGTGATTCTGCTGATTTAAACTGGGAAAAAATGTCTGCAAACTGCACAGCCTCTTTCTGTTCATTAAAGCCTGAAGTTTATTGAAACCAAAGAAGACCCTGCGGCTGGGGCCCCGGTGACGCCGTGAGGTCCTTGCCCGGTGTCCTCAGAGGCTAGGTGTGCGTTACAGAGTTCCTGAGAGCTTTAGAAAAATGATAGTCACACTTCGTGCAGAGTGAACTGGGTGGCGAACAGAATGTATTCTGTATAAGATGTTAATTCTCATACTTTCTGAAGCTTAGACTGCCTGTTTGTTACAGTGTAGGTACTGTTGTTTCGGAAGACCGTGCAGTCTTTTTAACTGATGACGAGCAAGGCTTTGTCTCTAATTCTGCCCAGTTAAAGTGCAGGCGTTAGGCTAGAGCTGGGACGAACCCCGAGCGGCTTCATTGGCTTTCCTACTTCTTTTGCATCCCAAAGCATAAGCTTAAATCGTCTCAGAAGGACAAGGTCCGCCAGTTTATGGCATGCACTCAGGCTGGCGAGAGAACTGCTATCTACTGCTTAACGCAGAATGAGTGGAGACTAGACGAGGCCACGGACAGCTTCTTCCAAAACCCAGACTCGTTCCACAGGGAGTCCATGCGGAACACTGTGGACAAGAAGAAGCTGGAGCAGCTGTACGGCAGGTACAAAGGTAAGAGGTGAGGGCAGCAAAGCTGGACGGATGTCGGCCTCCGTGAGCGGCCTGCACGCTGCACTTGCAGGTTCTTTCTGGTGCCAGGGGCAGATCTCCGGGCTGCTGGTGCTTCTCCTCCCCACGTTCAGCTGCAGAATCCACTTTCTTCCGTTTCAATGGGGCTGGGACTGTGATTGGTGGGGGTGGGGAGGGCGAGAAGAGGGGAGTCGGCGATGGAGCAGGACCAGGCCTGTGCCTGCTTGTTCTGTGTGGTGAGTCTGACACTGCACAGCCTGTCAGGGAACAGCTGCTGCTGGGAGGCTTGGTGTGTTGGCGTGAATATGTCTGTTAATACAGTATTTTTTTCAAGCACTTCTGTTTAGGCTGAAATATTGATGATGAGAAGGTTAAGAACAACACCAAATCATGAAGATGATCCTGAAGTGAGGGTAAACCTTAGTGTTTTCCTTGCCCGGGCAGTGGCGTGTTAGCACTGAAGTAGCTTCAGTGGTTTGAGAGGGTTTGGGAAAAGCTCTCAGCAAAGAAACCTTCTGTTTCAGATTGTGAGCAGTTGTGATTTTTATTGACATCAGTGCTTGGATGGGAGCTTTTCTCGTCAAAATGCAGCTGTGCCTTGCACTAAGACTGCCATGATGAGCCTATGCAGATCCACGCCCCTCTGCGGGTTTTAAATTTCATCTTCAGTGCAGAGGGGGAGGCAGCCATCTAAGAGCTGACTTATTTTGCTTTTTCTTTCTACCAGTTTTTAAGGCCAAGTTTTCTAAAACTTTAAAACAAAACCAAGCCCTGACTCTCATTTAAACAAGTATTAGCCCAAATATACAATAATTTCCTTGGCTTTAAGTTCCTGTTTGTTTGTTTATTAGGGGGGGTGTGTGTGTGTGTGTGTGTCTGAGACGGCGTCTCACTCTGTCGCCAGGCTGGAGTGCAGTGGTATGATCTCGGCTCTCTGCATCCTCTGCCTCCCACATTCAAACGATTCTCCTGCCTCAGCCTCCCGAGTAGCTGGGACTACAGGCACCCGCCACCACGCCCAGCTAATTTTTGTATTTTCAGTAGAGACGGGGTTTCACCATGTTGGCCAGGATGGTCTCGATCTCTTGACCTCATGATCCACCTGCCTTGGCCTCCCAAAGTGCTGGGATTACAGGCGTGAGCCACCGCACCCGGCCTAGTTCTTGTTTATTTATTATTTTCATTTTTTACTTTTTAAAATACTGTGTGTGTGCTTTAGTCTTTCTGTTTAGATCTGAAAAGTGAGTTGAAAATTGCTTTTAAAAATCTTGGCTCAGAAACGTAGTCAGTGGTAAAACAAACCAGATTTGTACTTATTGTACTTCCCAAAGAATGAAAATTGTTTTTAGTTAAGTATTAGTCTACTTCCAACATTTTTGGCTAAGTTAGTTGTTGAGCTAATTTTGTAAGTCATAAGCTTTTTATGCAGATTTTTTAAAGTTTTTTAAATATATACAGCTGTTTTTGAAAAAATACTTGTGTATAAGTGGAAAATTGTGTCTTTAAGTGTTATTGAAGCTTCATCCCTTCATTATTATTTAACTTTATTCATGCAGTTATAGTCAGTTAAAGTGGAAACATGGTACAATCACTTTAAGCTCTAAAAATAAACATAGTTCTAAGACTGTTGACAAATATAACATTGGTTATTACGTTAGCATATACAAATGAACAAGTATTTGCAAAATTACTTGAAATATTGAATATGGTTGTAATCAAATTTACTGAGATGGTTTATGAGGTCAGAGCATTGTAGATCAGTATTTCTATTCATGAAGTATAATATTAGCAGATGGAATTGAATAAGGTGATAAGTGGGGATTTATTTTTTTACAGAACCTGTGTCCCATAAACTATGCTGAGGTTTTCTCCCTGATATGAGAATAGAGTTAGAAGGATGTTTATGGTTTTCTTCATTTTTGTTACCATTTTTCTTTGTTAACTATATATATGTAGTAGTAAACTACTTAAATGACCAGAGTTAGATTTTGTGTGAAGGGGAAGAAAAGTGTATCCTACCTAATCTTTCTTTGAGCAAAGAAGCTACAGGTTTTCTATTTTTACCTTCTAAACCCACAATTTACATATGCATTACGACAATATGATATAATCTGTCTGAAATTACTAGCTTTAGTGAAGTCTTGCTGGGATGCCTTAAATATATTTTACAGTTTGATTTTCTGATAAACAAATGCTAAGTTCTTTAATTTTATTTATAACTAGGAATAGGGAGTGGGGAACCTGAATTTCTAAGCTATTAAATGCGGATACATAAGCTAAATGATTCTGAAAAATAGTTATTGTCCAGTACCATTAGAACTAGCAAATGAAATCACTTAAGAAGAACATCAATCATTCATTTACTTTGGCAGAGTTGTGATAAAAACCCAAGGTATTGTAAATACTTTATCAATACAGTATCTTTTATAGCAGTTTGCCTTTGGGTGAGCTAAATTTCTCTAAACTTGAATTTTTATTTCACTTTAGGGAAATTAAATTTTTCTTAGTGAACAGATCTTCTCAAAAAAAATTCAATGATTTTTTTTTTCCCTAAGACCCAGAAACCTAGATTTTAAAAATAGGACCGTTTTCTGGATAAATTATTAGTTGCTCACTATTTCTTTCATGTGTAGTAGAAAACTGCAGCCTATTGATTGATGTATTGGAAACACGCTTGCTAGAACTATGTAGTATAATAGAATGCTAGGATTCAAACCTCCTATTTTAGAATTCCTTTTCAAAATAGTATAACTTCCTTTACCCCTGATATTAACTACAGATCCACAAGATGAAAACAAAATTGGAATCGATGGGATTCAACAGTTTTGTGATGATCTGAGCCTAGATCCTGCCAGTATCAGTGTGTTGGTCATAGCGTGGAAGTTCAGGGCAGCAACTCAGTGTGAATTTAGCAGAAAGGAATTTCTAGATGGCATGACAGAACTCGGGTAAGTCAATTATTCGTAGCTTAAATTTTTTCAGAAATGAAAATACTTTTAACATTAATTATTTTTCAGCAACCTCTACATATTAATTTCATATGTTTATTTTCTTTGTGTGTCTTAAAAATTTCTTATGCATCTGCACTCTCTGCACTATTAAGCCTTTGGTTTCCTTTTAATTTTCAGTTTAAAGCTTTATTTCATTTCACATTTTGATTTTTTCATATTAACCCCTTTTGTAACTCATTTTCTTCTTTTTGAGTTTTTTTCTTTCCAATTTTGAATTGACAGTAAATACCAGGTTCAATTCATTCATGTTATTTCATAATACTGTATATTAAATGTAGAATTTATTATGCTGCTATGTTAAAAATTAAGATGTCATTTTGGTTTTTTGCTTGTAACATTTTTCTATTCTACCTACAGGATTGGGATAAAGGCTTCATTAATAAGGTGTTTCTCACTTACAGATAAGTTATAAAAGTAAATGAAAGGGCCTAATGTGACTCTCTTAATCATTAAGCTTATTGAACAACAGTCATGCACTGCATAGTGACATTTCGGTCAACAGTGGACCGCTTATACAACAGTGGTCCTGTAAGGTTAGAATGGGGCTAAAAAATTCCTGCATCCCAGCCATCATAATGTCATAGCTCAATACATTGCCTGTGTGTGGTGGTGCTGGCACAGACAAACCTGCTGCTCTGCCATTCGTATAAAAGCGTAGCACATCCAGTTATGTGCAGTGTATGATACTTGATAATATAAATGATTATGTTGCCAGTTTATGCATTTACTCTACTTTTTATTGTTATTTTCGAGTGTACTCTTAATTATTTGTTTTTTGAGATGGAGTCTCATTCTGTCACCTAGGCTGGAGTGCAGTGGCACGATCTCAGCTCACAGCAAACTCCATCTCTTGGGTTCAAGCAATTCTCTTGCCTCAGTCTCCTGAGTAGCTGGGATTGCAGGCGCCTGCCACCACGCCCAGCTAATTTTTGTATTTTTAGTAGAGACGGGGTTTCACCGTATTGGCCTGGCTGGTCTTGAACTCCCGACTTCAGGCGATCCACCTTGCCTCAGCCTCCCAAAGTGCTAGGATTACAGGCGGGAGCCACCATGCCTGGCCCAGATGGATGTTTAAATGTCACCTGTTCCTATTGTTTAAAATAGATACAACTAAAACAGCTTTGAGGCACACAGGAACTCTGCAGATAAGGAGGACCATTTCATGATGATAAAGGGTTTATCTCACCTGGAAAGCAGTCACACTTATGTTTTTATGTATTTATTGAAGAGTCCCAAAGTGTTTAAAGCAAAAATAAGCAACTACAAAGAGAAAGATGCAAATCCATGATCAAAGTGAGGAGTTTTCACACACATCGTAGTAACTGATAGGATGAGTGGATGAAAAATTAGTGAGGAAATAGAAGATTTGGACAGCACAAAAAATGGCCTAGGAGAACATTTAGAACGTTGCCTTCGATGTTGAAGAATACGTTTTCTTTTCAAAAGAAAACACAAAACAGCCTGGCAGGAGAGATACCATGATCATGAAGGTGGTTTTCCCGGGGCTGGGCTTATCCATTGCATTCCAGATGTGCTGACGCCTGTGATTTTCCCAAATGTGGGAAACTGGACTGCATAATTTGTGGTAGTGGGGGATTATGTTCGTGTTCTCTCCTGGTGTTTAAAATTAAAAAAAAAAAAAAAAAACTTTATTAAAGGCACAGAACATTAATAAAAATTGACAATAAACTGGGCTATTAAGTAAATTGCAACAATTTTCAGAGGTTTGAAATGATACAGAGTATGTCTTCTGACCACAGTATAGTTAAACTAGGAATGTAACAAAAAGATAACTGGGTAGGATATGTGTGGATATTGCATACCTCTGAGTAACCCTTGGGATGAGAAAGAAGTTACAGTGGAAATTAGAAAATATCTTGGATAGTGAAAATATATGTAAGCTTGTAGAATTCAGCTTATTAAATGCATATTTTAGAAAGAAGGAAAGGCTGAAAATCAGTGAACAAAGCCTTCCATCTCAAGAAATAGAAAAAGAATATAGAAGGAAGGAATTAATATTTTTGAAGCAGTATTCTAATTTACAAGTAAATTAGAAAATTTACTTCGAATTTACAAGTAAATTAGAAAAGTAAAGTATTTTAATTTACAAGAATAATCAGATAGAAAAGAAGTTGTCATTAGGAAGGATCAATAAAGCCAGAAGCTTGTTATTTGAAAAGACTTGTAAATGTAGTAAATCATAAGTAACATACATAGATGAAAAGAGGGATAAGATGATAGGCGCCAGAAGCATTAAAAAAAAAAAGTCTGTTATGAAAAGCTTTATGCCAATAAATTTGATAACCTATATGAAAAATATAACTTACTAAAACTGACATATGAAGAAATGGAAAATCTTAATAGTTCTGTAACTCTTAAGAATTTGAGCCTGTAATTTAAAATCGTCTCAAAGAGACAGCTTCTGTTTGGGATAACTTAATTGGCACATCCGACCAAACTCCTAATGAAAAGGAAAGTCCCCAATTTTAAACATCCTTTTCCAGAGAATAGTAAAGGAAGAAAGATTTCGCAATTTGTTTTAAGTCCAGCACAAGCTTCATGACAAAACCAAGGGATAACATTTGAGAATGGAAAATTATAGGCCACTCTCAGTTATAAGAATCAGAAGATGCCTAAGATGATAAGATGCAAAAATCCTACACACAGTATCAGGAAACTGACCAGTCATTAGCAAAAAATCCAAGACGATAAGCCCAGGATGATACATCATGACAAAGTTGGTTATACCCAGGAATGCAAGATCCATTTAATGTTACAAAGTCAATCGGTATAATTAATTTACCATGGTTAACAACAGAAAAAAAGGATCGTCCCAGTGCATAAGATGGGTTTGATCAAATTCAGTGTTTCTTCATTAAAAAAAAAAAAAAAAAAAAACTCATGGAAAACTAAGAATAAGAGGGGCAGTTCTTAATCTGACCAAAAGGAAAAAATTCCTATGGCAAACATTATACTTACGGAAATTGTAAGCCACCTCCCCTTTGAGACGGAACAAAACCTGAATGACTATTTCTATTCAGTATTAAACAGGAGATCACAGCTAGTCTAATCTATGGATAAAATATTCGAATCGGTAGTGACGTTAGCCACACTACAGGGTCCAAGGTCTGCAAATAAAATCCTGTTATATTTCAGGACACCAAGTGCAACAATCAGCAAAACAGTAAATTTTAAAATATATGTCATTTTTCAGTATCTTCAAAAATACAGAATACCTAGAATAAATCGGATTAAAGATGTGTGATACTCCCATAGAGAAAATAATAACTCATTGAGAGACAGGAAACAAGACCTGAATAAATGGAGAAATATACTTCCTTCATAGGTTGGAACACAGTATTTTATCCTTAGGTTTTTATATTGAATGTGATCTCAGTTTGAAAATCCTAATAGATAGTGGGTTTATATATGTGTAATTTGACAAGCTGATTTGAAATTTCTATAAAAATGCGCAGTCAAAAAGCAGTTCTTGAAGGAAAAGAACAGGATGGGAAGATTTGCTCTGCCAGATAATCAGAACTTTACAGCTACGATAATGAAGACTACATGGCATCAAGTGCCAGCTCAGATAAATAGACCAGAGACCAGTGGAGCAGAATGGAGGGCTCAGAAAGAAGTCCGTGTATGTAGGGACTTCTGGTTTACGACAGAGCTAGACTTAAGTGGAGACAGACATTTTTTCAACAAATGATACTGGGAGAATTAGCTAGTATTTTGGGGAGAAATAAATCCTGACCTCTACCGCATACCATATGTAAACATCAGTTTCAGATAGATATAGATCTCAGTATGAAAGGCAAAAGCAAAAAGTCTGTAGAAAATAATATAGGAAAAGGTCTTTATGACTGTGAAATAGGATAATTTCTAAAACATCAACAGAAACAATAAATCACCGTAAAGAAAAATACTGACAGAGCATATTATAGTAAAAATAAGAACTTCTGGTTAAGAAGCATCAAGGTAGTAGAAAGGCAATCCTTGTTCTGTGTGGAAGTTCTTTAAAAATACCTGGCAAGGGCCGGGCGTGGTGGCTCAAGCCTGTAATCCCAGCACTTTGGGAGGCCGAGACGGGCGGATCACGGGGTCAGGAGATCGAGACCATCTTGGCTAACATGGTGAAACCCCGTCTCTACTAAAAATACAAAAAATTAGTCGGGCGTGGTGGCGGCGCTTGTAGTCCCAGCTACTCGGGAGGCTGAGGCAGGAGAATGGCGGGAACCCGGGGGGCGGAGCTTGCAGTGAGCCAAGATGGCACCGCTCACTCCAGCCCGGGCGACAGAGCGAGACTCCGTCTCAAAAAAAAAAAAAAAAAACCCTGGCAAAGGCTTGTATCTTTAATATATAAAGAATTTCTACAAAACAATAAGAAAAAGATGTTGAAAAACAAGCAAAAGATTTGACAAGCACTTTACAAAAGAGGATGCACAAGGGCCAGTTAAAGTATAAGATGCTTAATCTCATTCACTGGGGAAATGCAGGTGAAAACCTCAGTGAAATAGAACCCCACAACAAACCACCCTCTGGGGGCTGAAACAAGACACGACAGCAGATGTGAGTGAAAGTGCGTGGAGCGGGAGCTCCAATGTACTGTTCGACATCAGTTACTAAATGGAAGGTGCACAGACGCTGTGACCCCGCCGGCCACTCTGGAATGTGCCTACGTGGTATGTTGTGATCTGTGTACAGAAGTGTTGACACCATTACTCCAAACCAGCAAACTAGAAACAGCCAGAATGTTCACCAACAGTAGCGTTTATGAATCGTAAAATATGTATATAACAAGAATTCTATGTGGCAAAGAAAATGAACAGCTGGAGCCGTCCATACCCACAGGAACGAACCTCGGACGTCACAAAGCCAGAGGCACCAGATGTGAGGTGGTGCACACTGTGAGTTCCTGTTTACGTCCAGCTAGAGGCGCACTGAAGGACCGCTCCGATAGGTGGTGGGCACAGTGGGCCTGGCCCGGAAGTCGGATTGTCCGTGCCTCGCTGGAGGGAAGAGGAGGCTGAAATGGCAAAGAGCCCTTAGCTGCCACCCACTCCCTTTTTTAAGAGCATCACACTCCGTTGTGCCAACTGGGGTATAGTGGGTTGCTGGGACTTCGGGCACATGCCACCATGCCTAGCTAGTTTTTATTTTTTGTGGAGAGTGGGTCTCTGAGCTATGTCATCCAGACTGGTCTCAAACTCCAGGCCTCAAGCGATCCTCCCTCCTCCTCCTCTCAAAGTGCTGGGATTACAGGAACGAACTGCTGCACCTGGCCCAGCCGCCACCGTTGATGTGGATGGTGCTTCCACTCACATTCACCTGCAGTGCAGTCATGCATCACTTCAGAGACAGGGACACGCTCTGAGAAGTGCATTGTTAGGAAATTTCATTGTGCAGACATCACAGAGTGTACTTACACAAACCAAGATGGTACAGCCCACTATACACCTAGTCTGTGGTTCAGCCTGTTGTTCCTAGGCTACAAACCTGTTCAGCGGGTGACTGTACTCAGTACCGTAGGCAGCTGTAACACAGTGGTAAGTCTGTGTATCTAAACACACCTAAAGGTAGAAATGGTCATGCATTGTGCTAGACATTGCAGTGGCTCTGACACCCCGAGGTGGCAGGAACCTCTAGGTGCCATTATGATTTTATGGGACCACTGTCACATCCACCTCCTGCTGTTGACCAGAACGGGACTGTGACTACACACAGGACTGAGTCCTGCATCTGTGCTTTTCTGTGTACGTCTTTATGGCCTTTTCTAGCTTCTCTAAAGCTTTCTCCAATGTTCTTTCCTTACCTCTGCTCTGCTTGGGTAAGTGGATAAGTGTTGCTTTTATTCTGTGCTTTGCTGTGCAGTCGAAATTAGAAAGATAGACTTTGTTTTACTGTTGTCGATTTCTGCCTTAAAGGCTGTTGACTGTTTTTAAAGGTTATTGACTTTTTGATGGAAAAAATCAATTTTAAAACAATATAGAGCTGTGTTTTACAATACCTGGGTATTTTAAATCTAACCTGCTATAATGAAGAGATCCCTACATAAGGTAGCTTAAGATTTATATGAGTTTATTTTTCGCTTGTATGATGGGACAGAGGTAGCAGTGGCCCAGGCTGGCAGGGCGACTCCATTCTGCAAGTCAAAAAGAGAAATAGGCTCTTTCCGTCTTTCCATTCCCTCGTCCCTGCCATCTTCTCACCTCATGCCCTGTCACCGCAGGGCAGGGGCCTCTCTCCATGGTCAGAGCCACCGAGTTAGACCACGCCCTTGTTCCAGTTCTCAGGAAGAGGGCAAAAGTTTTGGGTTTTTCTTTTAATAATTTTATCGAGATCTAATTCACATACCATATTTTCTCTCATTTAAAGTCTACGACTCAGTGGTTTTAGTATATTCCCAGAGCTGGGCAGCCGCCACCAGTATCCGTCTTAGAGCATTTTGAATTCCTTTTAGCAAGAGAGGCATCGCCCTCCTTCCCTTCTCTTACCTGATCACTTAGAGCCTTAGGCCGCGCCTAAGGAAAAGAAGTTGGGAAATACGGTCTCCAGCTGGACCCGCGTGCCTGGCCACAGTTCCTGCACAGAGGACAAGAGGAGAGTCGACTAGGGAGGTGCGTCTGCCGCAGCACAAACCACTGTCTCCCTCATTGCAGGTGTGACAGCATGGAGAAGCTAAAGGCTCTTCTGCCAAGACTGGAGCAGGAGCTGAAGGACACAGCCAAATTTAAAGATTTTTATCAGTTTACCTTCAGTTTCGCTAAGAACCCAGGGCAGAAAGGTTTAGGTGAGTATGAAATCCAAATATGTAAAATGCCAGATCGTAATAAGATTATCAGTGGATGTGAGCAACATGATTTCTGTATAGCCAACTAATGATTTTAGGTTTTGGTTTGGTTTTTTTGAGATAGGGTCTCATTCTGTCACCTAGGCTGGAGTGCAGTGGTACAGTCACAGCTCACTGCAGCCTCAATCTCCTGGGCTCAAGCAGTCCTCCCACCTCAGTCTCCTGAGTAGCTGGGACTCCAGGTGTCCACCACTGCATCTGGCTATTTTCATTTTTGTTTTTTAATTTTTAATAAAGACAAGGTCTTGCCTTGTTGCCTGTGCTGGTCTGGAACTCCGGAGCTCAGGCATTCCTCCCACTTCAGAGTGTACTGGGATGACAGGCATGAGCCACCGTGGCTGGCCCACCTGTAACATGACCACCCTTTGGTTTCTTGCCTTCTCCACACTTTGCTCTGTACGTAGGTAGATGAGTTTATGATACCATGTGCCTGAAGATCTCAGTCGATAGCGTCTCTCCACTTCTGGGTTCACATGTTTAAATTTTAAAATGTAAACGAATTTGTAAATGTCCTGTGTCAGCTCGTAATTGTTCTCTCTGTGCCACGTAGACCCCAGCCTGCACACCAACAATTTAGCCCACTTTTGTGTTTTATTTTAAAATACTGTAATCCATTTTTATGGATCATTAATATGGCCCATTTGCATGGACAGTAATAAATGTTTTTTTTACTTGAGGAGTCTGCATTCGCTTTAACTGTCACTCCTAACCCTACAGCAGGGATTCGGGGACTGCAGTGAAAGTGGAGGTGGAGCTGGGTTGGGTGCTGGGAGATGTGCACTGATCACCTGAGAGGCCAGTTGCACAGATGAACAGGCACAGGGTCAGAGACACAGGGCAGAAGGACAGGGAACACAGGCACGGGGGGACAGAGGGGCAGAGGCACGGGGGACAGAGGGATAGCGAGATGGGGGACAGAGGGACAGAGGCACGGGACAGAAGGATAGCGAGATGGGGGACAGAGGGACAGAGGCACAGGGGACAGAAGGACAGAGGTACAGGGGACAGGGATAGAGAGATGGGGAACAGAGGGGCAGAGGCACGGAGGACAGAGGGATAGAGAGATGGACAGAGGGACAGAGGCACAGGAAACAGAAGGACAGAGGTATGGGGGACATAGGGATAGAGAGACAGGACAGAGGGGCAGGAGCATGGGGGACAGAGGGACAGAGGCACGGGGGACAGGGATAGAGGCACGGGGGACAGGGATAGACGGGACAGAGGGGCAGAGGCATGGGGGACAGAGGGACAGAGGCACGGCAGACAGAGGGATAGAGAGACAGGGGACAGAGGGACAGAGGTACGGAAGCAGAGGCGCCAGAGGGACACGGGCAGAGGCACGGGGGAGAGACACAGAGGGCTGGCGAGAGATACAAGGTGCTGAGATGCGTCTCGGCACACTGTGGTTACTAAATTGCGGTGCCTGCTGTACAAGGCGCGTGGGGCCTGTTGGGCTCTCGCTTTGCCTCTCGGGTAACAGTAGCAGTGCCTGCTGCATCTTGGCTCAGGAGCCTGCCATGTGCGGCACCTGAGGACACCCGCAGTGCTGAGACCAGCCTCGCTCAGGGCTGCGAAGCGATGAGAGCCTGTCCTGCCCTTTCTCTTTGTGAGCTGGGATGATCACAGAAGGAAGTCTTTCCATCTCCTGGTGTTGGTGCCAGAGGTACAGGCTGCTCAGAAAGGCAGGATGACCTCTGGGGCGAGTGCGTTCCCTGCTTCCTTCGACCGAGGGTCAGTTTATTGTTCACGTCCCCGTGAACTCGTGGAGTGCTGTTGGTGTGCTCTGGTGGTGACAGCTCCCTTCCTGTCTGCACTGCAGGCTGTCCTGGGCTCGTCCAGCCGCCTTCTGCCCCAGACCTGGACTCACTTTTTCTCCAAGAAGCCCTGATTTCTTTTAGCGGAAACTGGTTTCAGGCCGTGGCGGAGTCGCTGCTGGTGCTTGTTCAGAGTCGTTGTTTCTAGGCTTTTTGTTTTTTTATTTTTTAAATTTTGGTTCATTTGGAAGCTTCTAAACCACAGTCAGGACTACAGATTATTTTTCCTACTTGAGCTTGTCTGTGTTAAGCTGTGTTTCCCTTCTTCTGTTCTGGCCCTCCAGGGCGCAGGTGAAGGTAGCGTTAGAATGTCCGCGGTGACGTGTTAGCCAGTCCCACGTGGCGCACACCACAGGCTCAGTGATGATGTGATGTGTCTCCACCGGTGGAATTACTGTGAGTCGTGGAAAGGAAAAGGGGGTTATACACGCTCCCCCCATTTAAAACAATAGTTTGGCCATGTTTGTTGTCCAGGCACACAGCCAGGCCTCCCCTGTCGTTCTGGGTGGTCCTCGCTCTGTGTTGCCCAGCAGCCCCTGCTTATCGCCAGGGCTTCCGCTGACGTCTCCCTGCCCACAGGTTTTGAAATTCGTTCTCCGGTGGATCCCCAGGAAGTGCTGCTGGGGACGGTATTCCCCGAGTCCTTGCGTGACGGGTACAGAATCCTAGCCTCCTTTTCGTTCCTTGGAATGTCTCAAGGGTGTCGCTCACTTTCTTCTGGCGTAGATTGTTATTGTCAGACGGGATGATGATAAGCCAGTCGTCTTGGCCTTGTAAGTTGCTTACTGTTTTGCCTAAATACCCAAACAAAGGCCATTTTTTCTTTTGCTTTGAAGCCCAGTAATTTTACTAAAATGTGCCTGGGTGTTGTGGGTCATCCGTGGTCAGGGTTCTCATGTGATGCTGAGTGTTTTCAGTAAGTACTTTCTAATCTTTTTTTAATTTCAGGGAAAATGTTCTTGAATTGTAGTTTTAAGCATTTGTTCTGTTCCTTGTATTTGGTTTTGGTCTCTCTGGAAACTCCAGTTACCCATTTAATTGGAGTTAGGTCCTCTGTGGAGTTGGGTCTTCTGTGGAGCTGGGTCCCCTGTGGAGCTGGGTCCCCTGTGGAGCTAGGTCCCCTGTGGAGCTGGGTCCTCTGTGTGGTTGGGTCCCCTGTGCAGTTGGGTCCTCTGTGGAGTTGAGTCTTCTGTGGAGCTGGGTCCCCTATAGAGTTGGGTCCCCTGTGGAGCTGGGTCTTCTGTGGAGTTAAGTCTTCGGCAGTGTGCGTTGCTTTCTCTCAGTCCTTTTAATCTGTACTTCATTTCTTTTTTCTTTTAAAAATGCTCTTCCTTTTTCACTATCTTCTTCTCTGAAGTCATCACCTGTCATGTGTCACATAATGGCAGCGATAGGTTCTGAGAAATGCATCGTTAGGCAGTCTCATCCTTGTGCGACGTTACAGAGTGCATGTTTGCAAACCTGGGTGGCATAGCCTATTGCACGCCTAGCAGTATGGCACAGCCCATGGCTCCCAGGATACAAACCTGGACAGCGTGTGACCGTACTGAATATGGTAGGCAACCATAACACAGTGGTGAGGATTTGTGTATCCAAACACACTGAAGCATAGAAAAGGTGCAGTGAAAATGCACTTTTGCAGTCCTGTTGCACCGCTGTCACTTACGCGGCCTGTCGTTGGCGGAGACGTTATGCAGTGTGTGGCTGCCTTTGAGTTTATCTCCCTCATGTGCCTTCTAGTAAAGTCATTTCCGGAATGATTTTCCTTTGTTTCTAATTCTTGAGTGTGATTTCCTCATTACTAAGTTTTCCTAATTCTCATTTGTGGTGTTTCATGTTTTGTTTCATTTCTTAATGTCCTTTATTTTGAAGTCAGTGGTCACACTTAAAAAAAAATTTTTTTTTTTTTTTT